TGGAGGCTGTGCGAAAACACGGAGCGAGAACGATGACGCGGTCCTGCAGACGACACGCCACAACATTCGCATTCTCATCACATCCAGAAAGCATGCTTGCATGTAATCGTACGTATAAATAAGAGAGAGCACACGATAGCGTTTACTGTCGCTGCCTCGCCTCCTGCCTCGCTGTGAACCACAAATGCACTCGCACATCAATCACACTCCACTTTAATATGATTTTCGCCCGGGTCAAGGCAGCCAGCCGCTTCACGTCTCAGCAAATGACAGGCCCAGGCTAAATGTTTCTGAGGAGCGTGTGTGTCTGGCTTATCTACAGAAGACAAAGAAGGAGAAAGGGCAGTGTACGTGAGGGATCAGGATTCGGCTGCGGTTGTTAAAATATGCTTCTAATTAATTACAGTCGTTTACACGGTGTGCGTTCCTGCTGTAAGGGAGTACTGTTCCTGCTCTTCGACCTACATTATGATTAACGCATGTTAAAGTGAGGGGTGTGCTTGTGTGTGTAATAGAGACCGAGATGCTGCAAATGGATTCTCCTCGGGGACGACGAGAGCGGTGTGTGTTACCTTGCGAGTCGTGACTGATCAATACGCGCTCTGCTGCAGCGTCTGGAATCTAATCCTGTAATAAATGCAGCGGGGCCGGGCCGACACTGCGAGAATGTCAAATTAACGCGGGGCGAGGAGCACTGGGTTCAGAAAACATCCATCAGTAACGCCGCCATAAAATCAAAAAGTTCTGGATAATCTTCAATCTGTAGCCAGAGTGTCGCTTTCTCACCAACTTTTATAGATCTGAATATCTTCTAACTGATGGATGGAGCATGGAGGAAATAATGGATGAGCAGCCAGATGGATGGATTGATTGATGGGTGGGTGGATGGATGGAAAACAGATGGAGGGATGAATAGATGGATGGATGGATGAGGAAAATGGTTAGATGAATGAAAAACCTATGCATGGATGGGTGGATGAATCAGATGGCAGGATGAATAGATGGTTAGATGGATAAAAAAACTGAAAACCTGGAGAGACAGAGGGACAAAATTGGATGGATGGATGGAAAACAGATGGAGGGGTGAATCAGATGGAGGGATGACTAGATGGATGGGTGGGAAAACTAGTTAGATGGATAAAAACTGATAACATGAATAGATGAATGGATAGACAGAGGGACAAGGCTGGGTGGATGGATGGACAGAGATGGACTTAAGAGGATGTGTGGACATAGTCAGGTGGATGGAAGGATCATTGGACACACACAGGCCTGTCACATTTTGTGCAGAAAGACCAATGGACTGATGGATGATCCACACCTCAGTCTACTCATAAACTGCTTACACACAGCTAGATCCATGTTCAGATCACACACTGACTCCAGATCAGTTCTAATTCTGCTCTCACAACACTAACATCAAACGTGCCTCATATTCACTGAGCCCAGGTCAGTTCTACCTGATGACTTCTACCAAGGAGCCACAGAACTTTCTCTCTCGCTCTCTCGCACCCCCCCTCTCTCTCTCTCCCTCTCTCTCTCTCTCTCTCTCTCTCTCTCTTTGAGTATTGATTGAGCTGGCAGTGATCGGCGATGCAGGCGTTCAGTAACAAAGCCTCCATTAAAGAATTAGACCCTTTCAGAGGTTTTTTTTTCTTTTTTTTCTCTTGCGCCTCCTCGCAGCTGCGAATGTGTTTCGAGTCTTTCCTGCACCTCGCTAATCACGTACCGTGTCCAAAGATGAATTACGGTGAAGGCAGGATGCATGAGGAAGAAGGCAAATCGAAATCGCTTCTTTCATGTTCATCTCAAGAGGAGAGAGTGTACTGTAGAGGTTCGTCACGATTCGCTGCAAGGGGACAAAAATCCATTTTCCCGGTTTGCTGTTTTTCCATTTAGTTCACGAAAAAAATGTTTGTTATTGAGGAGTGCAGCGAGGAATTTTATGTCTGTTTTTTGTCCCCGTCCCCCCCCCCCCCCGTAGGGTTCGAGTTGCTCTATCAGCCCGAGGTGGTGCGTCTCTATCTGTCCCTGCTGACCGAGAGTCAGAACTACAACACCTTGGAGGCGGCAGCAGGGGCCTTACAGAACCTCAGCGCTGGACAGTGGACCGTCAGTTCACACACACACACACACACATACACACACACACACACACACACACACAGCTATGGCCAAACACCATGTGTGTTTATCTGCATCATACATATAAATTAGCAGTGTTAACTAATACACAGTGACCAGCGTATGAGCAAAGCTTCTCCAGACGTAGCTAAGCAGCATGTCGGACCACACTCACAAGTCCCATGTGCTTACATCGTGTGTGTGTGTGTGTGTGTGTGTGTGTCGTCTCTTTACCCTAAGAGGATTTCAGAGAGCCGTTTCAGTTTTATTCCCTATGCAGGTTTTTTGTTTTTTTTTCTTTACACCTGCTGTAGCTCGCCATCTCCTCCTGGTGCTCACTATATGCTACTGCAGCACTTTGTTTACACCGTGGGTGCTGGTTTTCATTCCAACCAAGTAGGAGCCACGCCTGATTCCACCTGTTTAATCAGTTGATCTTGGCTTTCAGTCGACCCAGGTGTGGCTTCTGCTTGGTTGGAATGAAAACCTGCACCCACACGGGCACTTTCTGGATAAGATCGGACACCCCTGCCATAGACAGAGCCAGCTGAGGCGACCAGGGCTTTATATGTCACATGGGGATATTGTGTGTTAATCAATAAGAAGCTCCAGTGACTCCGTGTTCGATCCTCAGCTCAGGTTACCAGCTAACTGGAGCTTCCTGTGTTTTCCTCGTGCTCCTCATGTGGGGAGTTTAATCCGCGTCGCATTTCATCCTAAACGACGAACCCCATCTCATGTTGATGTTTTGGTCTGACTGATTATTTATTAATTATTTTTTTTTTATTATTTCTTGACAGTGGTCCAACTACATCCGGGCGACGGTGCGTAAGGAGAAAGGCCTGCCGATCCTGGTGGAGCTGCTTCGCTCCGACTCGGATAAGGTGGTGCGTGCCATCGCCATCGCCCTGCGCAACCTCTCCATCGACCGACGCAACAAGGACCTTATAGGTGAGCTGGAAACCAAATCCGGTTCTCTTCCAGCAGCCAGAACGGCGAAAATCTCCGAGCTTAAAAAAAGCAGCCCACCTTGAGGAGACATGAAGTTAGAAAACTGCGTGTACAGAGCCATGAAGAGTTTTTAATGACCAGCCGTTTCGATTTTTTTTTTTATTATCATTTTTTAATCCGAGTGATGCGCTGCAACGTTCGCAATAACGCCTCCCGCCTTGGCTTTCATCGCATCTCGAAATTAGATCTAAGGAATAAGCGGGCGAACGCGGCGGAGTTATCCAGTCCGCCGAGCGAGGGGATTTCTTGATATTTTGAAGCGTATGAAATATTAAAGAGGCCGAATCATCTCTAAAGTCTTAATAGAGATGTTGGGGGAAATGTCAAGTCTGTAGCCAAGCTTCTTTAATTTTTGTATATAAATATATTAGTAGTAAGTGAATTTCTGTAATGATATAATGTTCTCCAAAACACACACATATATATATAATATAATATATAATATATATATATAGGTACTGTGTGAAAGTATTACTTTTTGTGAATTTAGTTTTAGATGTGTATTTTATGTGTTCTGGATTACTGTTTCAGCTGAAAGAGTGCATTTCTTTCCAATTCCCAAGAAAAAAAGCTGGAAAAAAATGAAAAGACACAATAACATCAATCACGAACCAAAATGAACTCCTCACAGCAGCAGTGTAAACCAACACTATGTGTAATAAAAAAACACCGTCACAGGTGTGTGTGTGTGTGTGTGTGTGTGTGTGTTTGGTTAACCGTGCTGCCAGCTGCAAATCCACCAGTAATAAAAAATGTATAAAATTAGTAAGTAATATTTTTGTAAAACCTGTTTGTTTGACTGTTACAGGGAGCTACGCCATGAGGGACTTGGTGAGTAACCTTCCGAGCGGTCAGCAGCGTCCCGCCAAGAACCTGGAGGAGGACACGGTGGTGGCGGTGCTCAACACCATCCACGAGATTGTGACGGACAGCTCGGAGAATGCTCGCTCACTCATCATGGCTCAGGCCATCGATAAACTGGTGGCCATCCACAGGACCAGGTAGAATGTAATGCTGGTAACAGCGTTGACCGTAATCCTAACTTATGGAGTGTGGTATAATTCCGAGCATGAGCTTGGACTCGGAAATGGAGACACCTCTGATTCCCTGATCCGTTCCAGAGCTTTTCTCCGTGTGTTGTTCGCAGCGTGTAAGCACGAGCGAACGTGTCTGTCAAGTGGTTTTTGGTTGTAGTTTCACATCGACGTGACGTTCTGTTCTGTGCCAGATGTTTGATTCCACACGGTCTTGTATTTCTGCCCCACAGCCAGTCGGCCAGAGAGATCAAGGCCGCGTCTCACATCCTGCAGACGGTGTGGAGCTACAAAGAGCTGAGGAACACGCTGACCAAGGACGGCTGGAACAAAACTCATTTCCAGGTGCGGTATGAGCGCGGGTTCAGGAGAGATTACAGAAAGGATGGAGCGAGCTGAGTCTCTATCTCTCTCTCTCTCTCTATCTCTAGCATCTTTTTTCTTTCATCTTGCTTATTTCCGAGCTCTCTCAGTCCGATCTTCCCTGCTCGCTCCGTCTTGAAGAGCTTCGTCCGGAGTACTCGAGACCTTTTAGTGTGGATGACTCTGCTCTGTAATAATAATAGGTTTTTTGTTGTTGTTGTTTTTGCGTCATCGCTGTATAAGTATTTGCTGACGTAACAAGACTGCGATAATGTTTTATATAAGCTACTTTTCTGAATTGTCCACAGCCCGCGGCGACCGCGGCTCCGAAAGGCTCAAAGAGCAGCAAGTCAGGATATGATGACACCACCCTCCCCCTGATGGAGAAGAGCCAAGGTGTGTCTTGTTTTTCCGTTACACCGCTTTCGGTTTTTATGTATTATTTCTTTTTCACTATTTATAGAGTGGGGCAGTGATGGCTAAATGGTTAAGGCTCTGAGTTACTGATCGGAAGGTCGGGGTTCAAGCCCCAGCACGGCCAAGCTGCCACTGTTGGGCCCTTAACCCTCTCTGCTCCAGGGGCGCTGCATCATGGCTGACCCTGCGCTCTGACCCCAACTTCCTGACAGGCTGGGGTATCCAAAGAAAACAATTTTTCACTGTGCTCTACTGATTGTTAAAGATGGGCTATTTATACGCCTCAGTGGTGAACAAAAGGCACGTAGCGATTATATTTTTTAGCAGGAGTGTCCAATCTTCGTTCCAACCAAGCAGAAGCCACACCCTGAGTACACCCCCCCCCCATATCTGTTGTATCAACTGCATCTTTGGTTTGTCTGGATTGTCTGAATATGGAGCGTACCCGGTTCTCTCAGGAACATCGTGTTATAGTACCTTCTGCGCAGTCACAACGTTCGTAAGGAAATAGAGCTCAGATGAGAGAACGTCGCCACCTTGGGCCTCATGTTACCTCATGTTCCTGATCGTTGGTGCGATTACAGCCTCCTTCTCAATCACTGTCTGAGTTTTCCCCCTCCCCTCCCAACACCTTCCAAATTCCACTTGAGCTCCTGCTCCTACGTTAGCTGGAAGTTGAGGAATGATGTATGAATGCTGTAGGCTCGTAATTAGACCTTAGACGGACGAGTTCGGATTGGCTGATGAGCAGGATAAGACCGGAGATGAATGAGATTCGTCTCACAGAGTCTGGAGTCATGTTCTCCCTGCACATGCTCAGTAAAGACTGCAGTTGGAGTTTGGGTGCTGCTGATAGGAGTAGGGAAGATGAGCTCCAGGCATCTCATTAAAGGGAGGAGTCTTCACCATGACAGCATTTAACAAATATATCTTTTATCGCCATTCCTGGCAAATTCAGACCTGATGTACAGCGTGTAGAGCTGCAGCTCTCATTTCATCCTCAGCTCACTTCAGTCGGCTTACCGCACTCAGTAACTGTTGGCTGAGGATTATGAAATGTGTTGATGTTTTTTTTTTAAATAAGTAAATAAATAAATGTTTAATCCAGCAGCTGAAAGCTGTACATGTACTGACGAGATGAAAGAAACAGCCTTTGAATGCTTTGCAGGCGACAGAGGCTGTGGCACTGGTGCTATGATACCTATGGATGAACTGGGTCCAGGTAAGACCGAGTGTGCATGCCGCCCAAAAAAAAAAAAAAGCATTAGTGCGTGTTGGGAAAAAAAAAATTCTAACAATTCATAACCGTTTCCCATTTCATCCAAGACGTGTGTGTTTTTTCTTCAGTCTGGAATGGGAATGATCATGAACCGCCTCACCGTTTCACTAATCAAATCAAAATGATTATTTTATATAATAATAATATTTTATTTTTTTTCCCCTAACACGACCCTGCCGTTCGTGATGTCGGTTCTAATGCTGTCTGTGAAATTCCTCTTTTCAAATGGGGCTTCCAGTGAGCTCTCCGAGGAACCAGTCGTGCCTTTAGATTGCTTTCGTCGTGCCGGTGTGTGCTGAGCAAACAGGTGCTGGGCTGCAGTGTGCCGAGTCAGAGCTTGTGTCCACAGTTCTGATCCGAACCAATAGCGTTTTTTTTTTTTTTTATGCCATCAGTGCGTGTGATGTGGTCATGGACACGAATACAGGTCTTAAACATTGTGTTCTGCAAGCGAAGCTTTCAGAGAGAAGTGGCTTTTAAAGGAGCATCAGGAGTACCTTCTGGTGAAGCTTCAGAAGGAAGTTCACTACATTACTTTTACTTTTTTAAGAGATTGAGTAGGAGTTTAAAGTAGGAGCTTCACTAATAACATGTAGCAAGTTTCATACAGACTTTAGTTAAAAACTTTGGTTGGGACTTCCGCAGCATCTAAAATGGGTAGGAACCATTTTGTAGGAGCTTTTGTGAGAGGTTCAGTTGGAGCTTCAGTAGTGATTTTTGTAGGAGCTTGAATATGAACCTCAGTAGGAACTGTAGACATTTAACTCATGACTTCAGTAAGATATTTTTTTCAGCAGCTTGAATGATGACGTCAGCCTCAGCAGGAGGTTCAGTTAAAGCTTCAGGAGTAGGAGAAACGGCGCTATAGTTACTGAACTTCAATCGAGTTTCCCTGAATGGCTTTAGGAGGATCTTGATGTCACCAGTAGGAGCTTGACTGGTACGTTTAGTCGGACATTTAATGATAGGAACTTCTACAGCAGTGTGAGTGGCATCAGTAGCTCTCATAGTTACTTCAGAAGTACTAGAAGTTTCCATGAGAAATGTAGAAACTTTAGTCGTGAGAGCTTCAGTAGAGGATCTCGAGTTGGTGCTTTGATTATTTCAGTAGGAGATGGAGGTAGTAATATGTATTGTAAGATCAGTAGCCGCAGAAGCTGTTTAAATCTGTAAGAGGAAGCACAGCGATGGCCGACGTCGTAACCGTGGTGCCGTGATGGCTGTAGAAGCTGACAGTAATGGTATAAAGCCGACTGGGGCTTTCCTTTTCAC